GGGGGGGGGGGGCTTGCAGTTCTTTCCCTTAGGCTGGACCCCTCCAGGAAACATGGTGGGCAACTTACTAATTGCCTTCTCATGCCCCACTCAACCCGAGCTTCCAGTATTTTTAGAGTAGGATGCCTGTAGGCTTCAGACTTCCCCATTTTTGGAGCCACTTTTGTTAGGCTCTTTCCCCTGAAGAGATGGGGACCAGGAATTAAGGTTCTACCTTTGGCACAGGTTTGCCTGCAGAGATTTCTGAGCTGTACTGCTTTCAAATAACTCTCCCTGGGGGTCCTTCTCGGTGGCAGTTCTAAGGAGTTGTTAAGCCTCTAAGAACCATGCCAGTCCCAGTGAATTTCATGTCTAGTGAGGAGTGATGAGAATGTAGTTGTATGTTGTAGACCTCTGGTTGCTCCTGGAGTAGCCAGTGCTAAATAAATGGCTAGCTTCTGGTTGTATCTGATAAGACATCCCTCTTCAGGTTTTTGAACTGAGAGTGGAATCAATTGTTCTAGTAAGGCTGACATAGTTCTTCAGCTGGAGACATAGACTCTCCCCAGCTAAGCTTTTTGGTGGCATTGGTCCTTGCCTTGATATTGTCATTACAATGTTTCCGAGTCACTAGAACAGTCCAAAACTAAATAGAGGAGCCTATACAGTATGAAGTGAGAGGATGCTCAGTGGAATTAAGCCACATTGTCATTTTTTTGGAGAGTGTGAACATAAGCATATGCTCTGAAGAAATGAAATGCTATATGGGACACTTACATATCTCTTGAATATGTTGTTGGCAGTAGCAGTAGGCAGATATGTCCCATAAGCTGCTAATTGCCACCTATATTATGAACCAATCTTTCCCATCCTTGTTTTTGGCAGAATTCTCAGATGAATTCCCATCACCCTTAGCCAGTACAGTCAATGTCCACCCTGGTTAGAAGGTTTGAGTATTATAGTTGAAATGCATCTGGCTTGGACTTTCAGATACATCCCCATAATTGTTCCTCTCCCTATGAGATCTGTGCTTTGCTTTCCCACAAACACGAAGAGGAGGGGGTCATGAGAAGAGGCCATTTTCTTCTACCAAGAATGCTGCCAACTGATTCCTTTCTTCATGACTTTTGCTGGGGTTCTGCTTACTTTTTGACCTTCAGCAATAAAAGTAGCCTATAATTACTACGAAGTACAGAGGTTAAGGCTATCCCAGTGGAACCAATCAGGCTTATTCTGGATTTGTGAAAAAATCTCACTATTTCTGCTATCCAAAATTACCTTTATAATTTGATTTAACATGTTATATCATACCTCACTGAGGATTCAGTGGCGGTTAGGTTTTTTTTTTTCCTGCTCCCATAGAGATGAAAAATTCTTGGATCTTTGAAGCCATTTATGGGAGATGTACTATTTTAATTATGTATATATGGATTTAAGAGTTTTTTCCCTCTTGAACATTCACATTTTTGCAAATTCTCATGACCTTGTATCTTTGTTCTGAAGTCTCCTGATAGCAACTAATAAGCTATTCCTTTGGTGAGTATTTTAGCAAGAAACATCTTCACTTGTGGGATTGTAGACAAGGCTTGTCATGGGAAAACTTGCTTTCATTTACTGATATCACCTTGTTTAACAGTATGCATGGGGGGGAGAGAAGTAACCTCCCTCCCCCATTCATTCCTATAGCACGTGCTATGTTTGAGATGGCCCTTGGTGTTTGGAGTTGGGGCCAAGAAAAGCCTGCTTGACCTGCAGAACCACTGCCTGAAAGATAGAACAATCCACTGTTCTGGACTGGATAGATCTGAATTCTCACTTCGTAGAAGGAAAGCAGACAAGCAGGTTGGCTAGCTGGCTTTGGGGTATTACTGGAGCACAGAGAAGTAAAAGATGTACCAGTTCAGGCAGGAGGTAGCCATAAATATCAGGTCTCAGAATTACCTTTTGAGATCAGATCATAGCTTTCCAGTTGTGTGTTCCCCACTTGTATTGGACCTATTGCCTTTTGGTTTGTTCTTTTGAGCTTAGATGTGAATTTGCAGTTCCTACTGCTATGCACAGCCTGCTCTAACCAAGCCTTTTTTTTTCTCCCACAGCTGTCCAGTGTCTAGATGGCAACAAACCCTGTGAGAATGGTGGGACCTGTGTTGTTTACTCCAATGGGATTGCTGCTTGCCTGTAAGTGAACTCTGCATGGCCTTAATAGCAGCTGAACTCTCTTAGGTTATTTTTTTCTTCTGAGTTTATATTTACTTGTTTGTTGCATTTATATCCTGCTTTCTATGAGAACCAAAGGCAGCTTACATGGAGATCTTCTCTAATTTTATTCTCATCATAGCCCTGTAAAGTAGGTTGGGCTGAGGGAGTGACTGACACAAAGGTACACAATTAAACTCTGTGCTTAAGTGGGAACTTGAACCTGGTTCTCCCCTTTCCAAGTCTAAGATCCTAATTTCTGTACTGCCACTGCTTCCCACTAGATAGAGTTTGTTGTGAAAAGCAAGTATAAAGTTAATTTGGAAGCACTACAATTGTCATTGTAAAGTGGAAGAGTAGTAAGATTGTGAGACATTGTGGAATGTCACATAGAAAATAAAAAGTCTGGAAATCTTTACAAATCTTCAGAGCAGAGGTGGTTCCTCCTAGCACTCTTTGGAAGGGGTCCACAGTGGCCTTGCCCCATTACAGGCTCTGCTTGGTCCAGGGGAATTGTGAGGTAGTCATCCTGACTAGTATCCATTAATTTCAGATTTATACTTGGAGTGCTTTTCAGCTGGAACACTGCTATCAGGCATTTTATTAATTGGATCCCCAGTGTTAAAGGAGAATAAGTGTAATGGAGCAGATGAACTTAGTCTAAGGAAACTTGAGTTCAGATTACTGCTGTCTCATGAAGTACTTGGGGTGGAGCTTCTCTAGATTGGTTGTTATTTATCTGCCCAGCTACCCAATAACTTTGTTGTGAGGATAAAGAGTAACCCTCATGTAAGCTACCCTGAATTCCTGGAAGGGAAGGTAGAGTAAACATCTGATAAATAAACAACAGATAAAGGAAAGGAGAAAGAAATAGAGGAAGTTTTCCATTGTTATAATTATTACGCTAATAGAAATCTGCAGTGTCTCAGAAGTGCAAAAAAAAATCTGAATCTGGCTTGAATAACTACACTGCTCTGTGTATAGAGAGATTTTTGAATGATTATGTACCATTAAGTGGGTGTGACTCTTAGTGATCACACAGATACACTTTCTCCATGATGATCTGTCTCTGACCTGGCCCTTTAGGTCTTCCAGTGGTGCATTGCACTGATTGCTACTGTAATCAGGTCCACCCATCTTGTTGCTGGTTGTCCTTTTTTCTTTCCTTCCACCTTTCCTGACATTATAAGCTTCTGAAGAGAGCATATTCCTTGACTGCTGCTTTCTTTATTGTTGATCCTAAAAAGCAGAAGCTGTCCACCACTTTTATATCTTCATTGTCTGTTCTAAGACTGGTTGCTGTAAATATTGTTTGGTCTTCTGTGTATTTAATCTTAGTCTTCTTTTTTTTCCACTGTGCTCCTGGATTGTCATTACTAAAGCTTGCAGATCATTTGTATTTTTAGCTATCAGAATAATGTCATCAGCATAGCCCAGTTTATTGATGTTTCTTCCTCCGGTTTAAAAGCCACACTCATTTCTCCCAATCCAGCCTCCCTTAACACATATTCACCATATAATTTGAATAAATAACAAGATACTATTCACCCTTGTTTCACTTCTTAGTCTGTTTGGAGCATGTTCTGTCCAGACTGTGGCTTACTGTCCTATGTATAGGTTTTGCGTGAGGACAATGAGATGTTCTAGGATTCTTGTTTTCCTAAGGATATTCCACAGCTTGATATGATCAACACAATGGAAGGCCTTTCTACAATTAATGAAGCACATATTGACTTCTTTTTGGTATTCTTCAGCTTTCTCAATGATCCTGCATGCATCAGCAATAATGTATCTTATTCCTTGGCCTTTTCTTAAACAAGTTTGACATGTGGCAGCTCCCTTTCCATGTAGGGTCTAATCTGTGATGAATAATCCTAAACCTTATTTTGCTAGCTTGTGAAATTAAGGATATTGCATACTCTGTTTCTTTAGTATTGGTATGTAGACTGACCTCTTCCAATCTGTTGACCACTATTGTTCTCCTGATTTGCTGGCCTAGTTTGTTAGAACCTTTACAGTTTCTTTTTCCACTGCTTGCCATATTTCTGTAGATATTTCATAAATTCCTGTAGCCCTCTGATTTGGTAATTTAGTGCTGTTCTAACTTCATCTTTTAGTACCAGAGGTTCCTGTAGACAGGGAATATCTTCTCAAGTATCTTGGCTGTTGACTTCTCTAATGATTTCAGTATACTCTTTCCATCTTTGTTTCCTCTTCTTTGAATAATTTATTATCAGTTGCTGTTCGTAGTTGGAACCTTCTTCTGAGTTTAAAGAACTTTTGCAAGACTTTCTTTGTTTTGCCATGTCAGTTTCCATCTTCAGTGTCTTTACAAATGTTGTTGTGATATTGCTTCTTGCCTCTTCTAACAGCTCTCTGACTGTCTTTAAGTTCCTTCCTGAGATCATTGTCTTTCTTGGCTTTGGCTTCTCTTCTTGGCAATTTCCACCATTTGTTCAGTTTGCTTTCTTCTATTTCTTGGTCTTTGGCAGACTCTTTTCACATTCATCATTAGAACTTCTCTGATTTCATATCACAGTTCCTCTAGTTCCCTATCGTTGGGATTCAAAACTTCAAAGCAATTCCTGATCTTTTTCTTGAAAATGGTGGGTCAAGATCATTTTGTGGAAATTGATTGGCTTTCTTCCACTTAAGCTTGACTTGGAACTCAGATATGACCAACTTGCAGTCATTTGTACAGTCTGTCTTAGGTCATGTCTTTGTTGCTGTAACTGAGCTCTTCTGCCTCCTTGTACCAATTTGATTTCTGTGTACTCCATCTGGTGATGTCCATGTATAGAGGCCATGTTTTGGCTGTTTGAAGACTGTGATACCAATGAAGAAATCATTGGATTGGCAGAAATCGACAACCTTGACCATACAATCCAACTGTGTTTTCTAATGTTGGCATTCCAGTCTCCAACCATAAGCAGCACAACTTGGCTTGCGTGTTCTGTTGATTTCATATTAAAACTTGACCATAAAACTTGTCAACCTCCTCTTCTGCATCAATGATTAATGCACAAACTTGGATAACTGTCATAATTAAGGATTATCTGTGAAGTCTAATTGATTTTATCCCGTCACTGACTTTATTGTACCCAAGTACTGTCTTTGGCATATCATTCCTGACCATGAAGGCAACAGTGTCCTCTTCCTTTATCATGTACTGCAGAGTGAACAGTATGAATTCCTGACTGAAAGTGGTCAATTCCAGTCCATTTCAGTTCACTGATGCCTAAGATGTAAATCTGCAGTCAGTTTATTTAATTTTTCACTGTGTTGAACTTCCCCATGTTCATACTACTTATTTTCTGTGTTCCTACTATAATTCTATCTTTGTGGCTTTGGATTTTCTTTTCCTGTGTGGCAACATCTGCAACTGTACTCCCGAAGGCTTTAATCTAGCCACATCATAAATACCATTAGTACTCCGAAAGATCCTCAGCATTTCCTTAGTAGCATATTGAGTGTTATCTGAGCTGAGGGGCCCATCATCCAGCACTATATTGTCAGTCACCTCATATTGTCTATCCATGTGGTTTTCTTGGTAAAATACGGCAGTTGTTTCCCATTGCTTTCTTCCGCACAATATGAAACAGTGCTTTGCCATCGTTACTAAAATTATCATCTGCCTCCTCCTCCTTTTTATAACTTGCCTTTATCTTTGTACAACTCAAATGTTCCCATCTCTTATTTTCCTCAAAACAGTGGCCCCGTGAGGGGGATTGGGCTGAGAGAGAGTGACTGGTCCAAAGTCACCTAGCTGGCTTTTGTGCCTAAGGGAGGACTAGAACGCACAGTCTACTGGTTTCTAGTCCAGCTCCATAACTGCTATACCAGACTGGCTTATGCTGCCTGATATAGGTGCGTGCTTGCTTTAGCTGGGCAGCTGGGATGACTTTCACATCTTGGGTGGCTCTTGGCGTACACTCATGGCATTCTTCACTCATTCCTCCCAGGAATTACCCCCCTCCCCCCACCGTGATGAGGCAGCTTAGGAGGGTTTCAGGAGGGTGAAGAGATTAACACTTTCTGAATTCCTCAAAGTGCTGTTAGACCCTCAGCAAAAAAAAAAAAAAAAAAAAGACACAGTACATATCAGTAATGGGGTGGAGTAGATTTGAATTAGGAAGAAGAGATCCTACTTCCAATCCTATTTGGAGTACTCTGAAGCTTTAAATACAAATGAAACTTAGGGAGACTTGACTTCATAAATGATAGAGAATCTTCTGTGTCCCATTTGGTATTCACCTGTGTCTGTTTATACGAAAGTACGTCGCTCTTGCTGGGAGGCTGTAATGTGGATTTGCCAGCGTGGATGCTTATTGTTTTCACTGGTTTGACAGCCACTAGGCTATACTGCTTCTTGGTCTGGTGCATATTTTGGCAGGCACTCCATTGCACGGTGGGAGAATACCCTTCGGAGTATATTTTATATTGCCTTACAGTGTTGGCTCTACTTTTCTGTTACAGGATTCCCAAGCTATACGAATAAATTGTGAAAGTTGGGGGAGCGGGGAGGAAAAGCTGTCTAGAGTAGAGAAGACGCAATCCGTTTCAGCATTCTTAATTTGTGCCCGTTGCTTCCTGTTCAGATGATATGGCACAAGGTGCTTTTCTGGCTGCATTGCATGGATGGCCCAGAGCAATTTGATTCTCACTTGTCCTGCGTCTTCATTTGCTTCTCCTAGCGGCAGGTGAATGAACTAGTGCAGTGAGTTCCTAGCTTGGCGTATTGCTGCCTGTGTTGGAATCCAGGACAGGTGGATCTGCCTGCAGCTGCCACGCCCAGAACAGGTGAATCACTGGGAGGCATGAAGCCTGGCCTGGATCCCTGGATGGGATGTGATACGACATGAAAAAGAGTAGCTAGCTCTTAGACCTGATCTGGAGTCCAAAGACAGAATACTGCTACCAGCATTGAAATGGCATTTAGCCAATGTCTTTTAGGCTTTGTGCAAAGTAATGGTAGTGGGGTG